ACCCCCTTCCCATCCAGGCCATTTTTCAGTATTCAGCGCTGCGGTACTTTGATTGACATTTATTCCGTCATGCAACACTGTACTGAAATTAATTTTATACCATTTTTTAGGGACAGATAGAGCTTTCTTTTGGTATTTAATCACCACTGAGGTTTTTATTTTTTACTATATTAAGGAAAAATTACCGAGATTTTTTTAAAAACTGTTTCCCCTATATTAAAATGATAAAACATTTATTATTACCCAATTTTTTGGTAAAATATAAGAGAGGGGTTCACGTCGGGTAAAAAGACACCAAACATGTCAAGCCTTAAAATTGTGTGCGCGAAACCTCAAAAACTATAATACCCAAAATTGGCCATAGGCGACGCTTTAAAAGCTTTTACCGCTCATCAGTTTAGTGTCATCAGTTATTGATGGCCCTAAAATGATTGCTCTCACTGTGATGTTCGTGGCGATATGTAACGCGTGTAGCGCAATTGTCGTTTTTACGCGCTGGTGGACGGGTATTTACGTTTATGTATGCGTAAACGTGGGGGTGGGGAACTTTTTGGGGGGTTTTTTAAACTTTTATTTATATTTTTTTTTACACTTGTTATTGCTATTACATAGGGGGATAACAATCCCACATATAATAGCAAAGGCACACTGACAGGTCCTCTTTATGGAGACATTAGGGGTCTGCAGGACCCCTAATGTCACCTGGGGACCCCAAAGGAAGCTGATGAAGCAGAGATCTGCTACATCAGCTTCTTCTCTCTGGCTATAGCAGCCAGATGACTGACAGGTGAATACGGAAGTGATGTAATACACATCACTTCTGCATTCACAGCACGGAGGGAGGTCAGCAAGGAGGAAGATGCTGATCTCCCTCCCATCTTACCTCCTGACTCCTGACACCCTCCCGAGCCGGTCCCGGGCCGCAGATGGGGCAGCGGATCCCGGAATTGAAGGTGAGGGGTTAGGGGGGGCGACTGCGGCGGCAGGACTCGAGGGGAGGGAGGGGGGCACGGGTATATGTGAAACAGCCGGTAACGGCTCTTTACATTGGACGGGTTTTTTCTGCCCTTCATAGCCCTGTAGGAAGTGGTGCCTGCATACATATTGTAATGAACAAAACTTGAAAAGATTGCACATTCCCTTTATCAATTTTTTTCATTGGATCGTACAGAATATTTAACTCACATGAAGTTTCCGATGTGGCCACCTGCGAGCCTGACAGACAGTTTTGAGCAGATGTCTTCCATCACCACATCCCACAAGAAGAATACTTAGTTCAGGAATGTCATCACAAGTAGTTAGGTACTGAAGGGTACTCTGCAGACCTGAGTAAGGGGGAATGAGACCATAAAAATTAAATCTGGATCTATATTCTGAAACCGTAAATTTGTGTAAGAGGTCTAATTATCTATGGATATATCAAAGCTTTATTGGTATATTCTTGTTTATTCAAAATGAAAGTAAGTATTTTAAAAAAGGAGAGTAGACACGTCAAGAACATTAGAAATGCAGATGAACACCACTTCAATGAACAGTTGCTGGATTTAGCTCCCGTGTGAGCAAGTCCTTAGTTGTTATATTGTCTGACAATCAAACTTGCCTCACTCTCATGATAAATAAGATTTCAGAAAGACATCTACGCAGGCAGCATCATGGGGAGCAGAGATCCATATGTGGCTGACAAGCCAGTGGTTGTGAACAACTTATGAACATGTTTTTACTCTTTGACATCCATACTTCAACCTTTTGTGAATAACTCTGTATGTTGCGGCTATTTCTGGAGTTGAAGTGTTCATATTGAAGCAATTTTTGATGAAACTTTCCACATTCTAGCATGCTTGGTCCCTTATATTTTTGTAATTATATTACAATGTAGAGCTCTGTAAACTAGACACAGCAGTCACTCTGCTTTTTAATAATAGGATATCAGCCACACAGGGAAGGAAATGTTTTCAAGGAGTATGCTGACTCAAATATTCCCAGACACTGTCCCAGTGTGAGGAGAAAACCACAACTATAGTGTTGCACTACAAAGCACCACCGTTCATCCAAGTAGTTTTCTTAGTTAATATGATTGTCAGGAACATACTGCAGCATTTATAGCAACACAGTGACCTTAACCCATTGTCATGGAATATGTCAATTCAGATATCAACTGTCGAAGAACATAATGTTGTGAGGTAAAGGTTTATAAAACCATCCTCCCGAGTTCAGGTTCCGGCACCCAATGCGGTAAACGAACGGCCCCAAGCTCTGTCCCGTTACCTCATACAGTGTCCCACCCGGAGCACCTCCCAACCGCCGCTGGCAGCCTGAAAAGCCCTGACACACGGCCAGCCATGGAGCGATATCTTGATCGCCCGCCGAACTCTCATGAATCCTCCCTCAGACTGCTCTGCCACATCCAATATGGCGACCGAAGATATGCAGGAGGACACACACGAGGCTGCTGAGGGTGAGTCACTGCCTGTCATAGCCGCTCACCCATTCCTCAATTACAAGTAGATTGCTCCAGAAGTCTCCAAATGCTTAAAGGCTGATATGGCCACCATTATTGCTGAGTCTTTACAAAGTCACCTGGGTATACTTAAAGGGTTTTAAACCCTCCAGTGTTTTTGCATATATATATTACTAGCAAGCAGTAGATGTATGCAAAAAGTATTAAAAAAAAAAAAAAAAAAAAAAAAAAACTTTTTAGGGGCGGCCCCTGCTAGTGGCCCAACCCCCCACCTGCTGACAAGTCTCCAGTTAGTAACAAGCAGTTAGGAGTGCACCCCCATAAAAAGAGGGCGGGACCTGTGTCCTTCAATGAACGGAGAGAAAAGGATTTTACGGTGAGTACAAAAATCCTATTTTCTCTCCCGTTCATTGAAGGACACAGGGCAACAGATCGTAGATACTGTATGGTAGGGACGTCACCGAGCAGTAACTCAATGAGGGATGGGCAAACACAAACAACCCAAGAAGCACCCAAAGAGCCGCCTGCAAAACCTTGCGCCCCAAACCAGCATCCGCCGATGCTAAAACATTCACCTTGTAGAACTAGACAAAGGTGTGAACAGAAGGCCAGGCAGAGGCCTTGCACACCTGAGAAACAGAAGCCCCATGGCGAAAAGCCCAGGAAGCTCCAACAGCCCTAGTAGACTGGGCTGTGACAGGGAAAGGGGGCTCACGCCCCCCAACGGCATACACCTGAACAACCACATCACAAATCCATAGTGAACGGTAGCCGCCGACGCGGCCCGACCCCTATGAGGGCCCCCCGTGAGCACAAACAGGGAAACCGTCTCACGGAAAGAAGCAGTAGCTCCCAAGTAGACACGAAGAGCGCGCACCACATCCAGGCAATGTAGCGCCCTCCCCTTTCCTGCGGACAGGATGTGGGCACAAGGAAGGTAGAAAAATGTCTTCATACATATGAAAAACCGACACGACCTAAGACAGGAAGGCCGGTCGAGGACGGAGAACAGCCTTGACCCCATTAAGGACCAGAAAAGGCGACTTGCAGGACAAGGCAGCCAATGCAAACACCCACCGAACAGAAGTGACGGCCACCAAAAAGGCCACTCTTTCGGGACAAGTACAAAAATGGAATCTCCCCAATAGGCTCAAAGGAGGATTCCTGCAGCACCGAAAGCAACAGGTTCAGATCCCACGGTGCCAAAAGCAAGCGGACAGGAGGAGCAATACGCGCAACCCCCTGAACAAAAAGGTGCGAACCAGAGCATTAGACGCCAAGGGCCGTTGGAAAAGCACAGTCAAGGCAGAATCAGCCCCCTTCAACGTGCTCAATGCCAACCCTTGAGCCACACCGCATTGCAAAAAAGGCAAGAATGTTGCTGATGGAAAACAATCTGAGACCAGGCCACCACCTCGCACCAGACAAAATAGGCCCGCCACGTGCAAAGGTAAATCCTCCCAGAGACCGCTTTGCGTACTCCATTCATCGTGGAGACGACCGCATCAGACAACCCTTGGTCCCCCAGGACCCGACCCTCAACCGCCACGCGGTCAAAGCCAGCGACGATAAAGAAGAAGGATGGAACACAGGCCCCTTGGACAGAAGGTCCGGACGCAGAGGCTGACGCCAAGGAGCGGCCATCAACAGCACAACCACATCCGCGTACCACACCCTCTGAGGCCAACTCGGAGCCACGAGAAAGCCTTCGGCCGCGATCCGTCGCAGAAGCCAAGGTAACAGGTAAAGTGGAGGGAAGGCGTAAATCGGACCGTAAGGCACCTAAGGAGCCACCAGGGCATCCCCCGTCACCGCCCAGGGATCCAGACCCCGGGCCACACACCTCTCCATTGAGACGAGACGCCAGAAGGTCCACATCTGGTTTCCCCAGCGAAGACAGAGTGGATGAAAAAACCTCCCGGCGTAGGGACCACCCCCAGGGCCCATCGACTGGCGACTGAGGGAGTCGGCCTGCCAGGACAGGATCCCGGACACTTCTCGACATGCGGCCACGCTCATTGTGCCGCCCTGATGGTTGATGTACGCCATCGCGGTGGCGTCGTCAGACTGAACCCGAACCGACAGACTGTGGAGACAGTGCGACCAACGAAGGGACAGGCGAATCGTCCGAAGTTCCAACACATTGATCGACCGACGAGACTCCTCCAGCGGCCACCGACCCTGCACCGGCAGGGGGCCCCCAGCCTCACAGGCTGGCATCCGTGGTGACCACCGTCCAGCGCAGTAGACGGAAGGACTCCCCGCGCACCAATGCTGGAGAGTGAAGCCACCACCGCAGGGAGGCCGCGTCAACCAAATTCTCCTGTCCAGCGACAGGGTGGACTTGACCCACAGCCCCAGAATATCCCACTGGAGGGTCCCGGTGTGGTGCTGAGCTGAAGGCACCGCCTCGAAGGAGGCCACCATGAGACCCTGGACCTGCATACAGAAGCGAATGGACGACCACCAGCGAGTCCACAACAGACGCACGTCAGAACGAAGTGTCAGTAGCTTGTCCGGAGGAAGAAAACCCCGGGCCGTGACCGTGGACAGGACTCGGCCCAGATACTCCAGGCGTGGCGAAGGCACCAGACAAGACTCCCGGAGATCCAGGATACACCCGAACTACTCTAAGTGACCTCCAACTCCGCAGAAGCAGATTGTCCAAATACCCCACGATCGAGATTCCCCCGGCAACACAAGAGCGCCAGAACCAAGGCAAGCACCTCGGTGAACCCGCGCAGGGGCGACGCGAGGCCGAAAGGCAGCGCCACAACTGGAAATGCTCTTCCCCCACCGCGAAACGAAGATATCGCTGAGGAGACACGCAGTAGGCACAGGAAGGTAGGCCTCCTTGATGTAGATGGAGGCAACAGGTCCTATCACCACGGACCGAATTGATTCCATGCGTAAACGACGGACCCGCACAAAAGAGTGTGGGCGTTTGAGGCCCAGGATGGACCGAACCCTCTCTCAATTAGGCACAGTGAACAGATGTGGATAAAAGCCCTACAACCGTTCCGAGAACGGAACCGGCACGACCACCCCCTGGGACAAGAGGCCCACCACTGCGCGATGAAGATCCGCCAGGCGTGGAGGGGAAAGGCCTGAGGTGGACGAGAAAAATCTGTGTACCGGACAGGGCAGAAAGTCGATCTTGTAGCCAGAGGAAACCAGCTCCCGAACCCAAGCGTCGGAGACGTGAGTCAGCCAAAAGTCCGCCAAGAGCCGATCCAGTCCAAGGTGGTGCCAAACAGGCAGTCCACAGCAAAGGGAAGCTCCGTTAGAATGTTTGTAGAAGCCTGGTCAGCCGACCAGCACGTAAGCCAGAACAAACGGCGAAGCGTAACCGCCACCAGGGTCGCCGCATCCAAGGCCGAGTTGCAGACCGACTCAAGCCCTGCACCAGCAGCTCCGCCAAGTCCCCATAGGTAGAGGGAAACAGGTAGGGAGGGAAACATGCTCCTCCGCGAGACCCTGGTGCAACATCCCTGCCCACTCCGACTGAGAGAGGCCAGGGCAGAAGCCAGGACGGGTCGCATCAGCGCACCCGACACAGAGTACAAGGCGCGCAAAAACCCGCCTCAGCCTACCAACCGCTGGGATCCTTAAAAGGACGGTGATCCACCACCGGAATAAAGGTAGCAGTGTTCAAGCGGGAGACCGGTGAGGCCCATTTGGACAAAAAATCCTCCGCAACCTGCTATCGAACCGAGAAACGTACTGGAACCGCAAAGAACTTGGTTGCGCGTTTCCACTCCTTATAGATAAATTCATCAAAAAAGGAATGTAGGGAAACACCTTGTCGGAGCGCTTGCTCTTATGCATCCCAAACTGCACCGAGGACAGCGTAGAAGAGCCAGGAGA